TAAATTAATCTCTCAGACTGGGGCTGGGAAACGCTGAAATAATGGCTCCTCTTCTGGACCAGTCCTGAACAGCAGTAGTTTAAGATGGATGTAGCCCAGCCACTGCAGGCCAGTGCTTCAAGTCTCTGTCCAGACTGCAGTAAATGGGGTTAGTTCTACAGTTTAAAACCTGCAAACATAATGATCCGGAGCCAAACCACAGTTATATTTGCTTGGGAGCAAAGCCTGACATGGCTTGGGAGAAAGCTGTCCACCACTTCCCTGGTCTTCTACTTGGGACCAAATTTGCACGCAGAAAGATGAAGAAGAAGTGTCAATATGTATAGCGAGTCCTGTGGAAACAAAAGTTGCATTCACTTTGCCACTTGGAATGTTGGATCTGGCCCTTGAGCATTTAAACCAGGATATTAACCACACTTTAACTCTGGTATTTCAGAGTTATTTCACTGCAAAAATGGCTGATTTTCAAAACATGAATTTGACACAGATGAGAAATCCAATTCAGTGCTGATGCCAACAGATGCAAGTGAGGTGGAAGCTAGTGGGAACTTACATCAAAGGCAAGTTTTGGCCAAAGCCTGTACTGAGAATTAACACCTCTGGATACTTTCTGATGCATCATTCCAAAATATTTGGTTTGGAAAAAAAATATTTTGATGTAGCTAAGTATACAAAAGGACAGATGGAATCTAGCAGACAGTTTAGAAGACAAAGAGTAGGATCTTTTTTAGCTCCTATGGAAGACTCCCTGTGCAAAAGCTGTGTAATCCCTGTATGCCTGAGTTACCCCACCTCAAATTATGGAGTTAACAATATGTAACGTAATAAACAAAAAAAATTAATTAGTGCTGAAAGACACTGTTGGTTTTAATGTTATTATTTTTAAAAATTATGGTTGTATTAAAAAAGTGTCTTTTAAGCAGTATAAAGCTGCCTTAAATTAGCCTCCATATTGAAGCAGATAGCAGTTGTACTATTGCATATGAATACACTGGAGCCTGTACTTGTTGATTCAAAGATCAGATAAGCTTTTTTTGGCTCAGCTAGCAGTCTTTATAAGGCATATCAGCTCGAAAGCTTTAATGCAAGGAGCATATCAATTGGACAGGCTGTGCAAGAAAATCCCATGCACCACAAATTAAGGTGCTATTTTATTTCATCATTTTCCTTCTTGAGATGTTGATGGAAACAAATGAAAAAATATGATAGTTCAACAGTTAATCAAAACACATTTCTAAAGTTAAGGTATTTTGAACATTTAAATTTGGTTGTGCTTAACACATATAATACTTTATATGCCTTCCTTACTGGTAAGTGAATAGGTTGTCCCTTACCACATGGTGTAACATTTAGATCTGTCAAATGATTTGATTCAAGAACTTTTATGCTTTCCCACTGGGAACATTGCTGGTTGTGGTGATTCTCTTTGTAGCAAGGCAGAGTTCTTCTATGGTTGTTTTTGTCTTTTGGTGAGCTGTCTGGAGGGATCACTAGTGGCAACATACAAAGTTCTGACTGCTTTCTTCCTACTACTCTTCATAAATATTACCAAACACACCTGTCTTACATTTTTCCCCTTACAGCAATTTCATTGCTAACCTGAAGCGAAACCTGAGTGGGAATACTTTCAACTAGTGCAGAAACATCTGCTGATTCATCAAACATTATGATAGAGTATGTTTCACTGAAATTAATGAATATGTGTGTTTTTATAAGCATTACTAAAGGCATTGGTCATCTGGAATTTGAAAAATTTCTATCACTATTTATTTGTTTCATGAAGAAGCAGAAAATGGCTTGAAACAGTTCTGAAATGAGACATAATTGGGGGTTTTTACCAAAAGATCTGGAAGAAATCCAAACAGTTTGTATGTGGAAAGGGAACTGTGAGGAGACCTTCCTTGAGGCAGGTTGTCCCACAACTTCCTGTTACCTTCTGCACCCTTCCTGAAGCACCCAGACTTGCCTGCTGCCAGCACAAACACCCTGGAGCGCTGGCCAAAGGGACAGAGCACAGTTGGGAATACATGTGTGCATTCCTCTGGGGTCAGCTGCCACAGGTCTGCCTTTTCCGAGAAGAAATTTGCCCATTTGAGATGTCCAGGTTTTAGGAACATGTAGATTACCAGGTAGAAGATGACAACACTAATTAACGATATTGAAAAATCCTCTTTTTCTGACTACCATGCTCCATTCCTGGAGGATGCTTTGATACTGTGCCTTTGGATGCCTTTCTCCTTCTGCTCTCTTTAAGTAGAAGACGTGGTCTCAGCATTTTTAGATCCACCACATCTTGCTGGGTGCACAAATGTAGGAAAGTAGCTGGAATGTGTGTGGAAGCCCCCAGACACAGACCTAATCTTAAAAGCATATCCATATACTTGCAGGCTAAAAGATAAACTAATGAAAATAGTTTGTCATAGATTTCAGCACATTTTTTACAGGCAATCTCAAAGCACAAAGGAAGTTACTCTGGTTAGATTGTTCATCTTCTCCCCATTTTCCAACCTCTGCAGCTCAGTTACAACTCTTCTCAAGGCTTATTTGCTTTGTAAAATTATCTATGTACAATCATACAGCCAGTATAAAGGATTTAGTTGCAATCAAGGAAAGTTATTTAATCTGAAATAGATGAAACAGTAAATTGGACCATATAAACATTTTATACACAATAATTATTGGTGTCAATTGTGCAAAAAAATCTTCCACAGAATAAATAAGTAATCATTTTAATACAGAAGTTAGCATATCTAGGCTATAATATAAATAACTATTAACAGGAATATATATCAATACTGCTAATATGTCTTGTTCCTTTTTTGTTCTTTTGTAGGTAGACTGGATCTTCACTCCTTGTGTTGGTGGCACTCTCTTTAGTCTGCATCTTGCCCAACAAAGGCAGTGAAGTGCGATCCTTTGTCATGTTGATTCATTCAGTAGCCCATTCTGTTTCAAGGAAATGGCCATACACCAATTTGAGGATTATGACTCAGTCTTCTGGTTTCCTTTTGATTTAAATGATAGTGTTAAAAAAAGTTCCAAAGCTGTGCTTCAGACAATACTAACCACAATTAAGATTCTAAATGTCCAACAATACACTGCAGTGGTTTCTCCTAAAGGAGGCACAGGAACCACAGCTAACACTACACTGTCTGCCCGCAACTTGGGAAGCAGGTTGCCCTACCCAGTGACAGATCCATTTCAGAGCTCTCACCAGACCATCTGCCATGATCAGTGCCATCAAAATAAAGTGTAATTCAAGTCAGCGTAATTCATGCAGAGTTTTAAATGACGCTTCTCACGTGAGAGAACTAGTAGTTGTCCATACATCCATGTGCAATAACCTTGCTTTGCTCCAACTTTCAGGTGGCATTGGGATAAGCTGGACTTCCCTGTCCGTCCAGGCCTCCAGGGGTTGACATAGCTCCTCTTCCCATTCCCAGTGGAGGTGATTCCTGCTCCCAAACACCTGGTTTTGGTGCAGCAGCTCTGCTCACTGTGGAGTACCTAGTGATGGCGAGTGTGCCTCTCCTGTCCATAGGGCTGGGATCGCAGCAGCCAGGGCAGTCCAGGAGCTAAGCAAAGGGTCACTCACCCAGGAGGAGGAGTGTGAGCTGTGCTCAACAAGACCAAGTGACAAGTGACAAAGGTGCTGGTGCACTGGAGAAGGGAGAGGGAGATACCATCTGATCTGCTGTCTGCTGTGAGGAAAGCTCACAACTCGGGTGGAGCAGGTCCCCTCCTGCCCCTCAGTGGGCAAACCAATCCCGGGGGTGTCATGCAGCCATCCGCGCTAAGCAGACCGTGGGAGAGGGAGGGTGAGAGACAAGCTGGCAGGAGGAGATAAGAAGCAAAGGGTGTGAGCAGCAGCTGGTGCCCTTACACCAGGAAGGGGGTTTGTTGGGGCTGAAACGCAGAATGCCGAATGGATGCTCCTTCTCCTGCAGCACCCAGCAACGCTCCGGGCAGGGAAAACCTCTCTGCGCCATGGAGCGAACATACAGGCCTTGCTGTAGCAGATGAGGGGAGAGCGTGGGAAGGGCACTTTGGTGGCGCCTGGAGGAGGCTGGTCAGGGAATTGCCACCAGCCGGTGGGGCAGGGAGGTAGCGAGGTATCGTTGCCGTTGCTGGTGTTACCCGTGCTGGGAGGAGAAGGGACTTTAGCGGAGGCTCCTTGCAGCAGCAGAAGAGCCGATACTTCGGTGCTCACAAACGGATGTAACGCGAGCGCGGCGAGAGCCAGTGCCTCGGCATGTCCGTCAGGGGCGAGTGAGAGGGGGGGAAAGAGAAGGAAAATCCAAACTGCTACAAAGCGAATAGGAAGAAAGGCAATAAGAACTGACTGATTTTTTTTTTTTTTACCCCGTCTGATAAAAAAATAACCAAACCAAATCCTATTTGAAAATAAAAAGCCCAGTTAAGTCAACAGGCTCCCCTTCGCCGCCCCGCACACCCGGTGAGGGAGGAGCGGGGTCCCCGCGCCGCCCCGCACCTGCTCGTGCCGGGGGCCGCGGGGCGCCTGCGCGG